TGCAAGAGGATTGAAAGGGTAGATCCAAGGTTATATAGATGTATCGTCATGTTTAAAGCTATGTAGAAGCTTGAAATTTATTTTTTAGCCTATTGATTAAATATTTATTTTTACTTTTTATCATTTTTGAAGCTAAAACGATGAAACTTATTTATTTGACTTATATTGTGTTAAATATTTTTTCTTTATTTACGCGGACGAAGTCGCGGGTACAGCTAGTATACTATAATTTCAGGCAACTTAATACTATATCATCATAATATTGGACCATATTATATATACCTTAAGGACTATAACATATATATTTAGGGTTGCTTTGACTTAGGTATATCTTTATTGGATTTAGTGCAAATGGACAATAATTACAGAAAAAAAATCTGGTATATCTTAGTAGGTATTTAATCACAGTGGTTTTTGTAACAGGAAAAATTATAGGAACAATGTTTTTAATAGTTTATCACTCACACAATAGAAATCACCATGAAATTGACAGTCATTTGGTCCCAAACGATTTTTTAATTTTGAGGTTATATTTTGTGTGGAGTCTTTAATTAGGACCAAAGGAGCGCAGCGGATTCTACAAGGTATGCTATTGAGGGACTAGTATCCTGTCGCTTGAGGATTTTAAAAATGATAACCAAAATTACTAAAATAAAAAAAATAAAATGTGGGGCGGATGAGTGTTTTTTTTTTAATAAATAGTACGGGAACTACGGGATCCGCGTTTACTGCCGGTTGATTTGTGTAAGGAGCGATCGGGCGATATAATCCAACAAGCAAGGAATCACTTAGATTCAACATCGTCGCACATCCACGAACAATTTACTATTAAATGAAAATTAAATTTTTACTAATAACAGGTGCAGGTGGAAATTTGCATTTCTTTTTTTTTTTATTGGCAAACTTGTACAAGTGACGGAATTAAAGCTACGCGGTTTTAATGTACATTGATTAAGAGGTTAATAAAAAAATGTTATTTAGTACCTACCTACACAATTATTATTAATTTGGTCGTTAAAATTAAATTTAATATTTACATTTCTTAATTAAAATAAAACTCTGCAAAGTCACTCACTACAAAATAGACTAAATAATCTGTATGTTTTATACTGATAAGTTTATCTGTGACACTAAAAGACAGAGACGGGTGACAGAAGAAATAAACACTATTGGCATTATTAAAGGTATTTAGTTTATACCTACTCTATATATAAAACATACTGATGAATTGTCTATGCTCTAGTGAGTGGTCGTATTTTGTCTTATTTATAAAAATAAATTAAATTTGTAAAAAATAAAATTTTGTTGTTAGTAGAATTTAATATTAATTGTTATGTTGTAAGAAAAGTATAATATAATACAATAGTTATTTTTAAACTTTCGTGTTTAATATACATTATTTAAATTATTAACCGGGTCTTAACCACGGCTAGTGCAACCTAGTCGAAACGTCGAGAGAGGTAAATAAATACCTTTATTTGCCGTAAAATTATTCGCGTTAAGACCCGGTTAATAATTTAAATAATGTATAATACAATAAAATTTTAAATTAAACTTATCACCATAAATAACAACTTTAAAATCACACAATTTTAAATAATAATAACATTTTTACTTATAAATAATATTCGTTTGTTATTTAACAATTTACATCTACATTTAGACATAAGTTAGCTAGACATAACATAGCTGCCGTAATCATATTTCGAGACTAGATATACGTTATGAAAGATCTGTATTTACGTCTGTTGATTACAACAGACGTAAATACAGATCTCTCAACTCTCTCTACTGCCCAATAGATACTGTATATTAATACAGTATCTATTGGGCAGTACCTACAGTAACCCCAATATATATAATAATAATAATAAGAGTAAGAAAAAACCAGCAACAGCTGAGAGAAAAAAAAATTAATAATGATAAGTTTAACACCTCATCAAAGGGAGATATATATATATATATATACATAATATATATAAAAAATAATAATATTAGATATGTTATTATTAAGTTTGTAGATAGGTCATCAATAAAAGAGGAAAGTAAAATATGTTAATACATATACATTCACAATGAACTCTAAACTTACAGTCCTTTATTTCCTAATGTTTTGATGACAAGGAACGTGAAATTCAAATTTGTATTTTCCTTATATGAACTAAAGAGTTATTGACTGTATATACAATTATTCAGTTAATGTTAACACGTGACATCACATGTTTCTGATAGGACGAACAACCTGATCGATTCATGCGTTACTATTCGGGATCATTGATACTTATATAAATATGAAGTTATTAAATGTTTAAATAATGTAGTCATTGGTTATATTTATATATCTCCTATATAACGGCAATTTCTGTAATAACTATAATAAATAACTTAACTAATATTGTTTTTAGCTGTCGAAGTTAGCGAGCGCGTCTCGTGCCCGCTGAAATAACCTTATTCGAGTTAACAGTTAACAATAATAAACTGTTACGAGGTATAATGTGATAAATATTAGTTACAAGTCGTTCAAAAATACTAGCAGTCGACTCTTGTAAAGACTCTGAAAAATTTTAGCTTCATCAAGTTCATATATCACAATTATTTTATTATAAGTAATCATTTTTTATTCGAGTTACGTAGATCTGTAGCTAATGTAGGATATATAGATAATAATAAGCGATTGTGATTCAATATAGGCTTTTGATTTAATGCTGTTGCAATTGTTTCTTCTTTTTGAATAGATTAAATTAGATAGTTTTTCTATTACGTTCATATGTATGTAAGTGGATGTGTAGCTGTTAACCCACATGATGGAAACTGAACAGTAACATATCACGCCGTGTGACGCCCTTCTTGTGCATTGCGATTCTTCTATGCACTGTAATTTTACCGACATATCTCACCGTCAAAAACATCTTATAAAGCAGTTTTACATTAGAAATATCCGAGTTGTCCAATTTTGTAGTGCAAAAAGGCTACGGAAACCTGTACGCCATTTCACATTTGCATATCCAAACCGCGTTGTACAGTTTGCAATTGAAACTGTTATATGACTACGTAATCGCAAAACTGTCAATGTCAATATCATGTCAATCTGTTTATACTAAGAAACAATTAGCTGTATGGGCTGAGTCCTTTTGCCTTTCCCTATAAAGGGAAAAAACAAACAAAAAAAAAAACTAAGAAACAATTGCAACTGTCTTATATAATCATGAATGACAGCTGCGAATTTCAAGGCAACGTCAATTTCATTATTGACCACCTCTAGGGCATTCATGGTCACTGGCGTATACCAGCTGAGAATTACGTCAATGACTGAATTAGTATGCACCCCTTGAAGTCTAAATACTCTTTTGTGCCAATAAATTAATTCAGTGCTCCATTATCTTCAAAGGACAGGTCTAATGTGCTCGAGTTTAGATAAAATTCCAATTTTTATAATATCCATATGATTAATCTATAATTTACGATACTTTTATTTCACTCTAGAAGTGTTTATTAACTACGTAATCGTTATAAATAATAAATAGAACAAATTGTAAAGAGTACTAAATTAAAATTATATTACGATATAAGTGCGTTATGATGGTTATAACACACGATGCGGCATTGCATCCCGGACGGTAGACGAGGGCGTAATACAGCCGAGTGTGTTTAATACGCACATATATCGTACGACGTTTTTCAACACACTTGATTTTATTTTATTTATTTATTTAATTTAAGCAACTTAATATTATTTTAAATAAAAATAAATAATAAATATTTCAAATAAAATCAACCATAATACCATGATATACACTTGCTTTCCCGCCATTTTATTTTTTTAAATGGCGCGCTGCTTACTGGATTGAGCTGCGTGGCGGTAAGTTTGAAATTAGAATAAAAAAAAACAAATAGTGCGGTAATGGATCAACCATAATACCGTGTATACACTGTTGTTTTCCCGCCATTTCATTTTTTAAATGGCGCGCTGCCTAGTTAGTGTATTGAGCTGCGTGGCGGTAAGTTTGAAATTCGAATAAAAAAAAAACAAATGGTGCGGTTATGAATCAACCATAATAGCCTGATATACACTTGTTTTCCCGCCATTTTATTTTTTAAATGGCGCGCTGCCTACTGGCTGAAGCCGCGTGGCGGTAAGTTCGAAATTTGAAAATGCAAATAGTGCGGTTATGGAATACAACATCACTATTTGCGTTTATAACGAACGTGTTATAAGCAGCTTTATATACCGAAAAACGGTGAAATTACATCCACTTTACGGGCAAGTGTGTTGAAAAATATAGTAACGAAACGTTTCTTTGAACAAATATATAATTTGTAATCGATGTTTGTACTCGTAACTACACACAAAGCGACATCACAGCGCAGCATATAGTAAGGGGGAGTACACACTGTCGCACGCATCATGCAAGCCGCTACTGCGGTATTTGCACGAAATTTTTTATAACAAATGTTATTGATCAACAAGTCATCATAATTAGTTTTATTGTTGCGAAAAACTTGATACATAATAAGGCTCAATCCTTCTCAGAACAATCTATTTTTGTACCTAAATTCAATTATAACAGTTCAGCAGTTTAGTCGTAGAAACCTACTCAATAGAATAGTCACTTTCATAATTACAACTGTAGTAAAGTTACGTTACGTTAGTTAAGTCACGAATGTACACACGCTTTAAGTTTATTACAACCCTATTTTATACACAAACTAAAATATATACAGTTGTACGTATATGCTTAAAAACACACGCTTTTAGTTTATATTACGCTTATTTCAAACAAACACTAAAATACTTGCAGTTGTATGTATGTAGTGTTTAAAAACGCAGCAAAACGCAACGTGCCGGTTTGCATCGCAGACAGTGTGTTACCCGCTTAAATACATATTTAAGGTAGCCTCCAGACGCCTCCGCTACGACGTTCTCCGGTGCGGTGCGGTAATTCACGAATGGATCAACATTAACAGAACGCACAACACAAGCATCGGGATTCGTAACCGGTTACCGTATACCCGTCACTATTGGCAAGCCTTTTGCATACGTACATATAACATATATAATTGTATTGCAAAATATAGGAGAATAGGCCACTTATATGTATCCCACATCAATATTTTTAGCTTAAGACTTTTAATAAATAATTTAATTTTTAAAGCAGTTTATGTCGTGTCTTTTGCTTTATAATCTTTTGTAAGCTTTCCATACGGAAGTGAGGTTAAGAACACAGTTTTAAATATATATAAATATACCAGTATCTTGGTACTTCAATCGAAAAATTAATACACATTTCTGTATGTATTCCGAATACCTAAAATTGTTCAACTATACACGAAGCATTGCATGAAATTATTAATTGAATTGTAATGATAGGTGAAATGGAAAGAGAGTAGTGAGAGAAAGGAGTAGAAAGCAAACAAGACTCGAAGAATATTCTGTCTACACTCCATTCTCCCATTTGACAAACGTTTTGTTTCCTTTCTCCTTCTTCCATTCGCTACGTCTCGTCTCTGTTTCTCTATAATTTAGCTCAACATAAAGCGTTTATCATTACATCCAATCCCACATACAACGTTTGTAATAACAGCATTCCCTGTGCCCGAGTATTAGTGTATAACCAACCGTGTCCCCACAATTATACATTCAGATGCATCTAAAAATGCATAAACGTATACTATTCAGTATAAATAGAATAGATATTACACATTATTAATGCTTTACACATATACATTATATGAAGAAAATGAATTAGATTATTGAGAAATAATTCTTGTATAGATACACTGTTTCACGTGTAAATCAACAGTTTGATGTTATGTATGTTACAAAATGTATGGGAGTATTTTGTACGCGTGATGTGTGTGGCCACTGGGCTCAGCAGATGGTGAAGAGCGGCGAGCGGCGCCGCACGGCGTCAGCTCAGGAGCTGGCCGCACTCGGCTGCGGGCACTCGCTGTCGTACGCGCGTACCATCGCCGCCTGCGACACCGAGCCGCCCTCTTCTTGTGAGAAAGCGAAGCCATCTGCGGTATCCCACACACCGTTATAGCACATCGCTGTATATACAGGATGCTACCGAATTATCTGCATTCCCGTCTACACGGAATAGTAGTATATATTATGATTCTGATGGAAGTTCGTGTCCCTAATGCATTTATTTTTGACATAAGTATCCATAATAATGATTTGGACACTTTATTGATTTGATTATATGATTTGGATTATATAGATTTTTTCTTCTAATCTAATGTAAGAAAAAAATCTCATACATTTAGTAGTACAGTTACAGTGGTTACATTTTTTTAGACTACCAAACAAGTGCACTAACAAAATGTATCATTGTTAAATTATTTTTTTCATCAATGTGTTCAGAATGTTGGTTAATAGATAAAGTCAACCATTTTGTGTACATTTTCTTCTTCCTTTAAGCACTAAAGCCGAAGGTAACACTGACCGAGAGAGCAACAGCCTAATCTAAAGGAAGTCCCAATTGCATGAAGTTACGATTTGTTGTTAGTTATTTTCCATAATTCTTTATTATTTTACTATCATAATATTTATATATAATTAATACTATGTCATACAACAAGGAATGCAAATAATTAGGTAGAACCTTACATAGTGTAAACTTGAACACTAGCTGAGTTTGTGGTTACAGAAAATGCAGCGCTAGTTAACCCGTGACTGCATCTCATGTTAGTGTATAGTATTTTGGATATAATCCGAGTGATCGAGTAGGCGTGTAACGCTAATGGTGCGCGGCGAACGAACTCGTGGTAACTTAATGTGGTTCAAATACCCACACGTACATTTTGAACGGCAATTGACAGTTGCAGTTAACGTCCTTTTTTGTATTGTGGCTATCATTTCACCATATTTGATCTTTGGTTTTAGATAAAGAATTGTCAGTTAAAAATGAACGTGTGTTGAATAAATAGACTCACAAACGGAGATGGACATAGACGTCACAGGTTCTAGAAACAATAGCAGAAAGAAGCATGTCTCTAAATAAAATTTAAAATGTCATTTACTGATAGCTAACCCCAACCGTATTAGTATCACAATTTTTGCAATAAGAAAAGAAAATACAAGTATGTATATAGATCATAAAATTGTAAATTTATAAAATAAACACCATTGTAGCCCTCCACCAAAAAACTGTTTCAAATATTATACGTAATTTTTTATTTTTTATAACACGGGGTACAAACGACCATGCGGCTTTCCTGATGGTAAGTGATTACCGCCGCCAATGAGCATCCGCAACACCAGGGGAATTGCAGGGGAATTGTCGACCTTTTAAAAAGGAATAAGTTCTTTTCTTGAATGTTTCAATAACGGAAATACCATTGTTGTCAATCTTGCTATGCTATTTCAAAACCAATTAAATATAAATAAACTTACAATTTATTCTACGATCCTGATTTAATCAAACATGAACATATCAGTACTGTCTCGAAATCAAATGGGGTTTAAATAAATTCTTTTGAGCTTACAGCAAAGTTAGATTGCGTCACCTATTTCAATCCGCATCTGTGAGTATACCTTATTGATACCTTGATATCCATCAGCTAGGCAATGGAGTTGAGTGATAGAAATCGTGTGTGGCTACGGTGTGCGCGTGCGCGGGTGCGTGCGCGTGGAGGCGGTACTCACGCGACAGCTCGAGCTCCATGTTGGACTGGGTGGCGGAGCGGCGGCTGAATACGCTGCGCACGTTCTGCAGCAGCCGCGCCGTCTCCGTGAGGCTGCCACATACACTGCCGCTCACTACTACGTTTGCGACGCGACACGATGCGATACGATGCGACGCAACGAAGTCATGTCGCGTCTACCGCCTACCTTAAGTGGAAGCTGTCACTCCCAACTCTAACTTTTTCGATTCGCGTGTTTAAGTGTTAAAACCCTGTCCTCAAAGGTTAATAGGTACTAATATAAAAAGCGTGCATTGTGGTCTAATCCCACTCGATATACTGGTTTTCGAACTGCGAGTTATTTAAATAAATCTGATAACATATTTCAATATCGATCTTGGCTCAAAGGACCAAAAACTACTTTGGTAGTGTTGATGCGCAATTACTATGCGACCCATCATGAGAAATCCTTACAACAGAATTTGGTAATGATCATTCGGGGTATAATACGCCCTGTACGCTATTTATTCGTAAGATGGAGCAGTGACTGTATTTTTCAGTAAGACCCTGAAGAGCCTGAGATCATATATTTTGAAACTGGCTATATTATCTTAATATAAGGCGAGCTAGTGCAGTATCATTGTACCAGTATATCGAGCAGGCAGTAGACAGCAGTAAGCGGGGATGCAGTGCGCAATGGAGCGAGTTAGTATCGCACGTGCGATCATGCGATGCGACATACTTACACTGCGCGAGTCGTACGAGCGCGTGGCGCGTGTCGCCGCCGTCGCGACCGCTGTGCCAACAACCACCGTTAGTTCCACCACGTCACCACGTCACCACACAACACCACACCACAAGCATGGCCCAACTCGCGACCACATCACAACCTCTTAGTAATTTTAACATGATTTTTAAATAAATGCTGGATTGACTTTGAGAATGTAGATGAACACGAAAAAAAACGAGAAATCAGATAATAACGTAATAATAATGTAAATAAAGACGGAAAACAGTGAGACAGCAAATAATAACGTTCTTTATATTAATTATTATTTATATTTATTAAATTATTCATAACGAATACCTCAATCCAGCGTTTATTCAAATTAAAACATTCATAACAACTGAAAGGACATCCCGTTCTTATAACTAACGTGATGCTTAATTCATTATCTTTTAATTAATTAATTAAAATTTGAGATAACATTCGATCAAATTGCAAAATACTGACAGAAATAACAATAATATGAAACAGGCATAATATATAGCAAGCATAATAAAATGCCGCAAGCACAATAAAATGCAGCAAGCATAATAAAATGCAGCAAGCATAATAAAATGCCGCAAGCATAATAATACGCAGCAAGCATAATATAATTTCTGCCAAGTTATTTTGTAACGTCACGAGTGGATGTACTAACAGATCGAAGCAACCATCAATTCGGACCTTAAGACTACAGTACACAACTCAAGATAAATTTTAAATTGTTTATTTCGCATTTATTATTATAATATCGAGTATACAAATGTAATAAATAAAACTTACCTATGTTTATTCGTACGTTATAAAACAATATTAACATATTTATATGAATGGACGTATTGGAAACAAATCTACAAGTTGGAATAAACTCACCACGCGAATTGTTTAGATTCTGAAGTATTAATTAGTCTAGAAAATAATAAAAATATATTAAACAAACACTATTTTATTACACGAGCTTTGGAGACAATTTTGAATAGTCTATTTTAAAGAAATAGAAATAGAAATAGAAATAGAAATAATCTTTATTCAAATAAACTCATTACAAGCACTTTTGAATAGTCATATTTTGATTCTACCACTCATTCGGAATGCAGATTCATCACAAGAAGAATGAGCAAGAAACTTGTGTGTTGCTCTTTTTAATAGATGTTTTTTTTTATATAAATAATTACAGTATAACAAGTAAGAGGCATGCGATAATCAACATAGAAGTCGCTACGCACTCATTATTAATGTAATCAGATAATATTGTCAGTGCTATAGATTTAAAGTTTTTCTATAAAAACATTATTATCGTTAACGAATTCTTCAATTTTATAGTAAGCTTTTTTGCAAAGGAACTGTTTTATTTGACATTTAAATCTTTTTTCTGGCAGATTTATAACAGACTCTGGTATTTTATTGTAAAACCTTACGCAATTGCCATAAAACGAATTACTAACTTTAGCCAAACGACATTTAGGTAAAATCAGTTTGTTATTGTTACGTAAGCTTTTATTAGTGCAATCACTAACTCTTTTGAAACTGTCTATATTCCTTCTGGCATAGATGATATTTTCATAAATGTATTGAGAAGCAACGGTGAGGATATTTGATTCCTTAAAACACTCTCGCAATGACTCCCTGGAACCCATACCATAAATGGAGCGAATGGCCCTCTTTTGTAAAGTAAATATTGTATTTATATCAGCTGCTTTGCCCCATAACAAAATACCATACGACATAATGCTATGGAAATAGCTAAAATAGACAAGTTTAGCCGTTGCCACGTCTGTTAATTGTCTAATTCTTCTTACCGCATAAGCGGCAGAACTAAGTCGACTCGCCAATTTAGTAATATGAGCACCCCATTGCAACTTGGAATCTAATGTGATACCTAGAAATACAGTATCGTCAACAAAATTAATAGATTTATTGTCCAATACGATTTTTGAATCTACCGGCCTTACATTGGGGAGAGTAAATTTGATACATTTAGTTTTATTTGCATTTAGTAGCATATTATTTGCCGTAAACCATTTTAAAGCAAAAGAGAGAGAACCGTTTACTTCGTCCATATCATCAATATGTCGATTGACTTTGAATACTAATGAAGTATCATCAGCAAACAGAACTATGTCAGCTATCTTTTCTACCATATAAGGAAGATCGTTTATGTAAACTAAAAATAAGAAAGGACCTAGAATAGAGCCCTGAGGAACACCCATTTTAATACTAGTTCCCTCAGACTTTACACCATTTATTTCAACAACTTGCATTCTATTATTTAGATAGGATTTCATCATGCATAGTGCTTCATATCTAATACCGTAATGTTCTAATTTGAGTAAGAGTGTTTCATGATCAACGCAATCAAATGCTTTTGAGAGGTCACAGAATACACCGATAGCATCCTGTGACCTCTCCCAACAGTCAAAAATGTGTTTCATTAAAGCTACACCAGCGTCAGTAGTTGATTTACCGGCTGTGAAACCAAATTGCCGACTGTGAAGCAGTCTATTTATTTTAAAGTGGTGAAGCATCTGATTGAGCATAATTTTTTCAAACACTTTACTTAGTACTGGTAAGATAGAAATGGGCCTATAATTACCTACTTCAGTTTTATCCCCTAACTTAAAAAGTGGAGTTATTTTACTATGTTTCATTAAGTTGGGAAAAACACCGTCAAAAATACATTTATTGAAGATAGTTACTAAATATGGAGCAATAACATCTATAGCGGTGTTAATAACTTTAACAGACATGCCCCAATGGTCTTCAGTATTTTTTAAATTTAATTGTTTAAATGTTTTCGTAATTGTAGCAATGTCAATAAATGTAAATTTAAATGTAACCGGACACGAAGCAACATTGTCAATAAGGAATGATTTAGCTGTACTTGGAGAAGAGTCCAAAGAGGACGTAATATCAGTTGGAATACTAGCGAAAAATTTTTCAAAAATATTGACTATTTCTTTTGTGGACGTTACTAGTTTATCATTATAATTTAACGTAAAATCATTATATGGACTTTTAACTTTGCCAGTTTCTTTATTAATAATATTCCACACTGTCCTAATCTTGTCCTTGGATTCTTTAATTTTTTTATTTAGATAATTAGACTTTGCTACATTACATACCTTTTTAAAAGTTTTTGAGTATCTTTTTACATAATTTACGAATGTACTATCGAAACGGTATTTTTTTTGATCATATAAATCAAATAATATATTTCTACTTTTAAGAATTCCCTTTGTAGCCCATTCTGAAAATTTTGTTTTGTTACTAATACTGATAGTTTTTTTGTTAAAAGCCTTATTATATTCGTAAGAAACAATATTGAAGAAATCTGTATAAAGTTTGTTAGGTTCGTCAGATTGAGGACAAAAATCTAATTTACTACGAACTGATATTTTAAATTTATTTATCTTATAACCAGTCAAGTCTCTTTTTAATAAATTAATTTTCCTGATTTTGTTTACGTGATTTGGAAAAATTACTAATTGACCACAGTGATCAGAAGGAAGGTTATTTATTATTATTTTATCTAAATATTCACTGTTGCTAAATATGTTATCCAAACAAGTAGCAGACGTGGCTGTGATACGAGTGGGTTCGTGGAAGACATTACTCAAGTCAAAAGATTGAAATAAACTCATTAATTTAGTTTTTGTGGTGTTATGTGATAAAATGTCAACATTGAAATCACCACACACTATAAATTTTTTGTTAATATTAAATACTCTTTTTAAAATATCCTCCATTACCTCTTCAAATAAATTATAATCACTATTTGGAGGTCTATATACACACATAACTATATAATTTTCTAGTTCCACACAGGAAATTTCAATACAACACTCAACGGAAAGATTGCCAATATCACTACGTTCTTTTACTTTTATATTATTTTTCACCAATATCATGGAACCTCCTCTATTTACTATTTTTCTATTAAAGCAGCTGACAATATTATAATTGTTTAAGCTTAACATCATATTGCTCACTTTGAGCCAATGTTCAGTTAAACATAGAACATCTATATTATTTTTTTCTAAAAACAATTGAATAATTAATTCACAGCCGAGAAAACTTTGTATGTTCTGGTGAACAATTTTCAATTCTGATAGCTTTCCCTTTGTCTTTTTCAGCAGTTTAAATCTGCAGTCATATTTAAATTATTGTAAATAAAAGGATTCTTACTAGAATCAATATTTATGTCAATATTTTCAGAATGTTTAGTATTAACATTAGTACAAATACTACTAATTGGATTAGTGCAACCCATTATATTACTTATAATGGGGTCATTTATATTATAAGCTAGTAAACTAGCTATATTTCTTATTTGTTTTTTAGGCAGATA